CGATGCATGTCTGCAGTAGAGAAATGCGCATTTCATGCGACTTACAGCAGCCTATATAATCATAGAGTGTATGTTAACGATTTTGAACTGATTTTATCAGTTATTTTAAAGTAGACATTTCAAGCTTTCTATAGATAGGCTAACAACAACAGAAATCTCAAAATCTCGGGAAGTTTTGATTCATTTCAAACATTTTTTTGTATTATTAATTAATTTAAATTAATGCTTCTAATAGACACATTTATAACAGAACCTCAAGTAAACTACATGTTATTTGGTTTAGTCATATACAGGTGGGAGCTTTTTCAATGTATTACTCAGAACAACTTAGAATAGCCTACAACACCTTTACAGACTTATTCAGGGAAATACAGCAGGATGCAGGAAATGGTTGAGTACCAAAAGTTGCAACCATCTCCTCTGCCACATTGAAACATGATGAAGAGATTTCTCAATTTATTTATTTTTAATGAAATCTGACATATGCTTTAAAGTGATAGTTCACCCAAACATGAAGAATTCTGTTATTTATTCACCTTCATGTTTTTCTATGGAACACAAACTGATAAGTGTTATGCAACACCAAACACTGACAGAATATTGTGACCAGGGTCTGTCAAGCTCCAAAAAAAGACAGAAAACGCCATAAAAGCACCACACAATGTTCTACGACTTGAAATTTCAGGCTTTTTCTCTCATAAAGCTATCGTATGACTTGGAATATGGACCATTTGTATGATGCTTTTTGGCTTGTTTGGAGCTTTTATGGCAGGAACAGTGTAACATTTGCTTTTGTGTCCCAGAGGGGAAAAAATAACAGCATAGATGTTTGAAAAAAAAAAACATGAGGTTTGCTTTACTGCATGACCCATATGTGTAACACCACCATCTTTTTAATGAAAAAGGCATGGAAGCAAAAAACATCTTCCAGCCTGACTTTCTGTGACCTCCGTGGAATTAAAGGCTGGATTTTTTCTTTCTGCTCACTGGTTCAGCAGTTCAAATTTTGCACGCTTGCTCAATCAAAACATCTCTGAGTTAAAAACTGAGTTTTTTCATCCAGCAGATTTCCAGTGTTTTACAACCAGTACACCTATATTTTGCATTGTTGCACTCATTTTTTAAATGAGTGGTACTGTAACCCTAAGTAATCTGCCAAAAGATGATATGTTTAATACTAAAATGTCCCTCGAAAATACTTTCCATTGCACATTGAATGTAGAAATGCAGTGTATACAGATGTTATATTAATGGCTATGCATTTACACTGAGATTAACATTACTTGAAGTAATGGATAGTCTGTATGATGCTCAGTCATGATATGCAGGGTTATGATGTACAGTATTAATGTGTGGAAAATGCACAGATTAAAAAGTGCCAGGATTTCTCTGAACTGAAGCATATGAGTGTTGAGTTCTGCATTATGAGCACTATATTCTGAAAAATCTCTCTCATCATTGTAGTGAAGAGATTCACAAAAGTGTTTGGCTTGACAAATGGTCAATTTTCAGTTACCCTTAATGAACTTTAATGACTTTTCTAATGGTCATTTGAAGCAATAGAATAAGTTAATGCAGCTTTAATTGCAGCAAGATCTTCCACCATTTGCCTAAAGGAAAATAACTTATTCGTCTTTGTTAACCGTCAGGATAATGTTGCATATTGCATATAGTATATTGATCATTGTAAACTTGGAGAGTACAATGTAATAGTAATGTGTTTACTTCATCTATAGAAAATGAAGGTGCGGATAAGATTAATGTATTCCTCAAAATTATATATTTTCCAAATTGCCCCAGTAATTGCACTAGTAATAATACAATTGTAAACAATAAATACCAGTTATTTATTGTGATCTTAGGGCAGTGGCTGATAAAATTGTGCTACAATAAAATGTGTGCTTCAATAAATAAAATAAGCTAAATAAATATAGATATATTCATATTAATTTGATAATTTACATACTGCTACTACTAATAATAATAATAATAACAAAAACACTTTAGAATAGGGAACACATATTCACTCTTAATTTAGAGCCTTCCCTCAAAAAAACAAATTTGTTACTTATTATTAGTTAGTAAGTTGTTAAGTTTAGGTATGGGTAGGATTATGGGATCTAAAATATGGTCATGCAGAATAAGCCATTAATATGTGCTTTATAAGTACTAATAAACAGCCAATATGCCAGTAATATGCATGCTAATAAGCAGCTAGTTAATACTGAGAATTGGTCCTTAAAATAAAGATAAAAATCATATATTTTATAACTTTTGTTATAGTGCTACAATTAAAAAGGTGGTACACTAAATAAAATAAAAAAATTAAATATAGATTATATTCATATGTATATTATCCTTTATATAATAATAATGATACTAATAATAATACTTGTTATTATTATTATTATTAGTAGTAGTAGTAGTAGTGGTAGTATTACATTTATAATTATTGTATTTAAAACATTATGTTTTTAAATAATGTGGTGAATGTAATAAAACTGTAAAAAATGCAAATTACGCATTTCAAATAAATATACATACACACATATATATATATAATTATATTATATATAATGTTATTAAATTAGATTTTCTACATCATTAAAATATGCATTTACTACACTGTTTATGTATTAACACTTCACCCATAGACTTTATTGCACTTACAGCACACCTTATTCGTGTTGTAAATTTCACTAGAAATCAATAATGTCTTGTGTATTGATTTTGACATTGGTTATGTTGATGGAGACTTATAATAAATACTACATTTTTGCCTGGATTTTTTTTTTCATGATGGAAAATGGCTCTCCAATAACTAGAAATTACATTGTAGTATGTTATAAACCTTATTTATACCTGTTATGTACCTTTAACACTAGAACTACCAAGGCAGTCATTTTGACTGTTTTTAAATTTTGAAATGTAATAACTTTGTTGAAAATAAAACCCATATAACTATAATACCCTGACTTTTCCTAAATGTGTGTATATTTTACTGTAACATTGTTATTTTATAAAAATAACACAAAATACTTCACAAAAGTTTCTACCTTGAATGGCCAAAGCGGTCAAATTGACCATTCGCATAACAGACGGCATATAATTTCTGCTTTTGCTGTGTTTTTTCTTTTTTTTGCGGTTAAAGATGCACGTTTCTGTTACCTAGCAACTTTTGTTCTAGTTGTTTTTATATTCTATTGCTAAGCTAAAATTCCCGTTTGTAAAAAAGTTGGGTGGACACCTCCAATACAACTGCTATCATTCAATCTGCCACGGTTCCAGGTAGGCTATGTTTGGCTGGAAGACTATAGCCTGGCTGTTATCAATAATAGCCTACTTCAATGTTATGACAAAATAGCCATAATAATATTAATAATAATAATAATAATAATAATAATAATAATAATGGCTATTATTATTTTTATGCTAGTGTAATGCTATAGCTAATGCATAGCTCATTTTAGCACCAACAAGACTGATAGTGTGAAATAAAACAAACTTAGGCTTTTGTTTGCAACATATTTTAGAAATATTCTGATTCCGTTCATATTTGTTGGCATTTAGACTTTCAAATACAACATTTTCACTGCGGTGAAAAACTTTTGCTCTCCCGCTTGCCGGACACAAAGCGAGGCACGCACATTCGGGAGCGGTCTACGTAGCTCTTACACAATTAAATATTACAAAAAAATTGAGTGATTACGTCATAAACTATGATGACAGACATTCAAAGCTTCATTGTAAAACCTCAAAAGAAGCTTTGAATGTAAATATGATATGACAAAAATGGCATTCAGTTCAATCTAGTATGAACGGTCAGAATGACCTCTATGGCCATTCTAGTAGTTATAGAATTCCGGTAGTTCTAGTGTTAAAGGTGACATATCATGAAAATCTGACTTTTCCAGGTTTTAAGTGCTATAATCAGGTCCCCGGTGCATCTACCAACCAAGAAAATGTGAAAAAGATTAACCCAGCAACTTTGTTTTGGTAAGCCTTTTTCTGCAAGCGTCTCAAAAAACTAGCGCGTCTGATTTCGCACCCCTAGTGACATTGCAAAGGGATCTCATTATAATATTACCGCCCCTTAATCTGTATGTTTCTGCCCGCGACGCCGTCATTTTGATTTCGCAAGCTACAATGGTGTACCAGCTCTAATGCTATGGCGAAAGTTTGAGAAAAACATGCTAACTGTTCTGTCTTTGGCTGCACAGATAAGCACAGAACACTATTTAGAGTCCCAGCCTCAGTGGAGACAACAGAGCACTTGATTTATTTATTGATTTATTTACTGTATATTGCTGCTGCCACACAGATCTAAAATAAACACAGACTTTTACCTTCACAGACATAACCAACTGTTTTTGTAACTCGTGTGATTTTAATGTAAATTTGTGTGTGAATGAGAACTTAGTTTAGTACTCACATGCTGTGACAGCCGCGTTCTGTTGTGTGCACTCAGAAAACCATATATAAGAAGTTTAAACTAATATGGTTTAAAACGCATGATTTCAGCGTGGTAAACATGATAATCATAACAAAAACAAAAACCTATGTTTTTAGCAGGTACGAGCTGTAATGGGGCAGCTCTATTCTGGAAAAGGGGGCGGGGAGCAGCAGCTCATTTGCATTTAAAGAGACATGCTCTAATACAGCGTGTTTCTGCTTCCACTTAAAATAGGCATTTTCAAAATGATATAATAAAAGATATGTGGGGTATTTTGAGCTGAAACTTCACAGATACATTCTGGGGACACCTGAGACTTATATTACATATTGTAAAAAGGGGCATAATATGTCTCCTTTTAATTAATTAATCAGAATTAACATAATGTCCATGATATTCATAATTATAATTAAATACATTTATGTACAGTGCTCATGTGGCCATAGATAATACATGCACATGCCGGCTGAGTGTAATCTTAATTATATTCATGTATTATCAGAGGAATACATGATAACTTTCAACTCTGCCCTGCCTGTCTTGCAGAATGATTCCCTCCACAAGTTACGACTTCCTGGTGCGAGACCTCGTATCCGGACGGGAGTACGACCTGTGCGTTCTGGCCGTCTACGATGATGGCATGACCTCGCTGACCGCCACGCGCCAGGTGGGCTGCATCTCATTCGTCACGGAGACTGAGTACAGCCAGTGCCAGTCGCTCCACAGCCACTTCCTGGGAGGCACCATGATCATCATCATCGGAGGAATCATTGTGGCCTCCGTCCTCGTTTTCATCATCATCCTCATGATCCGGTATAAAGTCTACAGCCATCATGGGGCAGATTCCGGAAAGGGGACTGCTATGACAAACGTGCGCTCGCAGACCAATGGGGGGCAAGCAGCGGGGCAGGTCCCGCGCTCCAGCTCCAAAATCGTGGAGGGCCAGGAGGCCACGGAAGCGGGTTTAGGGGGGGCTGCCGGAGCCACCGCTAGTTTAAAAGACTCCACTGCCATGGTGCTGGTCAAAGACTCTGAGACAACTGTGCAGATATCAGAGATGATCTCCGAGGACATAGTCTCCCCCACACAAAAGCACCATCCCAGGACTTGTATAGAGCTCAAGAGACGGCCTTCTCTGTCCTCCAAAGAGGGTACAAGTACAGACACACCAGGAGGTATGTACACTCAAAAAAAAAAGATTTTTTGAAGTTGTAAATAATTTTAAAAAGATAATTGGAGTATGTGTGTAATACTTAGTAGCAATTTCTGAGTAAAAGTTAGTTTTTTTTAGGTTTTTTTTTTCAGTGTTGTGGTCTATGAAAAGTTCATCCAAAAATAAAAATGTGCTGAAAATTTACTCAGCCTCACGCCATCCAAGGTGTAGATCAGTTTGTTTCTTCATGGGAACAGATTTGGAGAAATGTAGCATTATATCACTTACTCACCAATGGATTATATGTAGTGAATGGGTGCCGTCAGAATCCAAAAAGCTGATTAAAAACATCACAATATTCCACAAGTAATCCACACAACTCAAGTCCCTCAATTTACATCATGTGAAGTAAAAAGCTGCATGTTTGTAAGAAACAAATTCTTTGCTATGTGCATATTTATCTACTGATTCAGATGAGACAACTTTTTCAACGGGCAAATCAGTATTATGGATTATGAACTTGTATTTTAGCTGGAATAAACGGTTTGAAATAAAAAAAACAAATGTCTTAACAATGGATTTGTTTCTTATCAACACACATCTTTTTGCTTCACAAGACATTAACTGATGGACTGAAATTGGATTACTTGTGTATTATCGTGATGTTTTTATCTGCTGTTTGGACTCTCATTCTGACGGCACCCAATTACTGCAGAGGATCAATTGGTGAACAACTGATGTAATGCTAAATTTCTCCAAATCTGTTCTGATGAAGAAACAAACTCATCTACATCTTGAACGGCCTGATGGGGCGTATAATTCAGCAAAGTTTCACTTTTGGGTGAACGGTAACTAGAAAGTTCATGCATTTGTTACACATGTAACTACCAAATGGTTTTTCACTGTAAAATGCAGCTAAAAAAAACTTGTTAAGCAAGTACAAAAAGAATGTGTCATTAAAACCAAAGGCAAATCACTTGTGTGATTTAAACGCTTAAGGTTGCTTGCAGGCAATTGCACATTCACATAACCTTTTGACAGCAGGCTTTTAACAATGCCCGGGCACCTTACAGCTGTTTCGAGTGCATCTATATAGACTCTTGTAATTGCCAGGAATAGAGCTATTCACCTGACTCAATGGGCCACATCCAGGTATTCCTTAAAGAGCTTTTCCTTTGTGGTATTTGGATTTATGGGTCCAATCAGGTAATTGCAGTTTCTAGATGAATGCTCATGGAATTCAAGAGGACCTCATCCTTTAACTCATTAAATCGATAAAGTCCATTCAGTCAAGAGCCGTTGATGCAGAAGGGTGAACTTCCATGATTCTCCTGATCCCGTCAGTCACCCAGGCACCTAATGGCCGTGAATTAAAAATAATCATTAGTCAACTAAGTTAGCACAGGATGTGAATTAAATAGTATTATGTCTGAATGAGCATGATGGCTCAGACAGGCACTTTTTTAGGACCTGAAATCGGGTATTTTCTTTTTAGTTAATGGCCGGTGAAATGAGAGACATAACCTTCATAAAATGTTCATTGGAAAGCTCAGTTGATGAAACAAAATTGTACTGTATATGAGCTTTATTAAAAGTTTGCACAGATAAATAACAAACAAACAGACAATGGATTCATGAAAAGTGCCAAAAATTACCTCACAGGATTGTGTTTCTGTATAGCTACCGATCCAAAAATGGCATCCCACCAACACACTGTCGATAAACAACATGTAGTCATAAGAAATGGCTTTGTATATTACATAATACATCAGAGGAATCTGTGTATGGAATAGTATGTTGTATTTATTCCTCATGTGCAACAAACAGTTGATTAGTTGAATAGCTACAGTAGTGTCAGATTTTGACATCAGAAAGACATTTGCTTGTTGTAAATCAAAAGGCTTTGTACCAGCACAGAATGTGTTTTCCCTTGCCACTGCAGAGGAGTCAGGATTACACTGCTCTCTGGAATACTTCATTTTGATTGGTCAGTTGCAGCATTGTGGAGTGAAATTATGTTGTATAATGTCCATTATGTGGTATATTTGACCTGCGTTCCTTTGCTGTGCTAGTCTCATTGCTCTTATCAAAGTGGTAACCTGCAGTTGCTATCTTAAAAAGCCACTTCTACCTGATTCATCCCATTAAAATTAGTTTTGTTGGTATAAATTGATGTACTTAGGTTGGTTCAGAAGGTAAATATTATTTTTGACTTCAGTGTAGTCTCTTTCTCGTAACATAAAACTACTGTAATTAACCTTACTTTTAATAAGAGTGCTTATTACAAAAAAATATATAATAATAATAATAATAATAATAATAATATACTTAAATGCGAACTGAATGTAATTATTTTTAGACATTAGTTTTATGTCAACTGCAATTAAATTAAAGTGTATTATAGTGTACATTTATATTACATTTAATTATCTAAAATTAAGAGTGCTTTTTTAACAACTTAAATAGCACTCAAGTACATCTGTATATGTCATTGTATAATAACTTCTCTTATATTTGAAATGTGGTTAAAGACAAGTATTTGTGGTAAACTAAAATACAGTCAATGTCATTTTTATTGAAATATGTATGACGTAGTTAAATATATGTGTAATTACAAATTTGTAATAATAACGTTTTTTTTCATATACATATATATTAAATATTTAAGTGCACTAAAGTTTCCTTTTATTTCATTAATATTTTATTACCTGCAAGTAATTTTTTTTTATACTTTTAAGATTTAAATTACAATATAAGTGCACATTCAATACAGTTAAGCACACTTTTTTTACAAGCGGGAACCCAGCAGGAACCCAGTGTGCCTGTAGTTTTCTCTATTTCTGTTTTATCACGTGATAGAAAGTCTAAGGCCTTCTCAAGCTGTATGGCTGACTCATCTAACCTGCGGCCTGTTATGCATCAAACTAATATTGCTGTTGAGACAAAATGCAATGCCATTAAGTTAGCATTTTTAAACATTCGCTCACTAAAAAATAAATCATTTCTAATCAATGACTTAATAACTACAAACAACCTGGATTTTATGTTTCTAAACGAAACATGGCTAGAAGACAGCTGCAGTGCAACGGTCCTCAATGAAACAGCCCCTCCTAACTTTACTTTCATGAGTGTTTGCAGGACTGTTAGGAGAGGTGGAGGTGTAGCTGCTCTATTTAA